TCTCAGAATCTCAGAATCTCAGAATCTCCAAATCTCAGAATCTCAGAATCTCAGAATCTTTAGAATCTTGGAATCTCAGAATCTCAGAATTCCAGAATCTCTGAATCTCAGAATCTCAGAATCTCAGAATCTCAGAATCTCAGAATTTCAGAATCTCAGAATCTCAGAATCTCAGAATCTCAAAAACTCAGAATCTCAGAATCTCAGAATTTCAGAATCTCAGAATCTCAAAATCTCAAAATCTCAGAATCTCAAAATCTCAGAATCTCAAAATCTCACAATCAGAATTTCAGAATCTCAGAATCTCAAAATCTCAGAATCTCAAAATCTCAGAATCTCAAAATCTCAGAATCTCAGAATCTCAAAATCTCAGAATCTCAAAATCTCAGAATCTCAAAATCTCAGAATCTCAAAATCTCAAAATCTCAAAATCTCAGAATCTCAGAATCTCAGAATCTTAAAATCTCAGAATCTCAGAATCTCAGAATCTCAAAAACTCAGAATCTCAGAATCTCAGAATCTCAGAATCTCAGAATCTCAGAATCTCAGAATCTCAGAATCTCAGAATCTCAGAATCTCAGAATCTCCAAATCTCAGAATCTCAGAATCTCAGAATCTTTAGAATCTTGGAATCTCAGAATCACAGAATACCAGAATCTCAGAATCTCAGAATCTCAGAATCTCAGAATCTCAGAATCTCAGAATCTCAGAATCTCCAAATCTCAGAATCTCAGAATCTCAGAATCTTTAGAATCTTGGAATCTCAGAATCTCAGAATTCCAGAATCTCAGAATCTCAGAATCTCAGAATCTCAGAATCTCAGAATCTCAGAATTTCAGAATCTCAGAATCTCAGAATCTCAGAATCTCAAAAACTCAGAATCTCAGAATCTCAGAATCTCAGAATCTCAGAATCTCAGAATCTCAGAATCTCCAAATCTCAGAATCTCAGAATCTCAGAATCTTTAGAATCTTGGAATCTCAGAATCTCAGAATTCCAGAATCTCTGAATCTCAAAATCTCAGAATCTCAGAATCTCAGAATCTCAAAATCTCAAAATCTCAGAATCTCAGAATCTCAGAATCTCAAAATCTCAGAATCTAAATTTCTGAATTTCTATACACAAAATTCAGAATCAGAAGTGTTAACGTATTTCGTTGATGTCATCGAGATTCGTCATCCAAACATAAGTTGGATGATGAATCTCGATGACAAATCACAATATTTTGGTTTAAAAAACGTATATAAAAACCGTCGAGAGCCACAATTGATATATCTTTTTATTGTTTCACTTTAACTTTTTCCTTTTTTATCTTTTCTTTGTTTATAAATAAAAGGTTTAATTACCCAAGTTTGAGATATTCACAAGGTGAGAGATTACTGGGAATCAAAATTTCAAAAGTTTTGATTTTTAGGATTTTACAAATTTCAGGAATATTCGAGCCAATTTATCTCGGTTCTTGTAAAAGATATAGAAAATCTGACAACTGATAAAATGTTGATGATATCATAACAAACATTTTATCAGTTATCAAATTTATGATAACTTTTATAGGAGCCGAGATAACTGAGCTTGGATTGCCCGAGGTTCCGTCGGCGCGCTGATTCCTACCATACTCGAACTTTGCGATCAATTATCTCGGCTCCTATGAGAGATATTTAAAAATCTGCAAATTGATATAACGTTTATGATATTATAATAAACATTTTTTCAGTAGACCATTTTTTCATATCTTTCACAGGAATCAAGATAATTGAGCTTGAATTGGGCGCGGTTCGGTCGGCAACTGATTGTGTCACTACCATACTTGAACTTTCACAGGGTAACGGCTTCGCATGGTATATGCGTTGGCGCGGCGCCTCATATGGACGACATAGGTACACCGTTTGCGCGCATATAGTACGTTATATTCGCGCACGCGCCATCGCCATTAGCAGATAGAATGCGCACGCTATATGCGTGCATATTACGTGCATATCCGTGTCATTTATGTTTCATATCCTAGGCATTTGTTTTTGTTTGTTTTTAGAAACTTTGATCACCCACGGAATTATTATGGGTGCACATAGCATCCTATATGCGCGCCTAGGCATATACCTGTGTTGAGCCCATATATCTCAGTTCCTGTGAAAGATATCAAAAAATTGTAAACTGATAAAATGTTAGACATATTATAACACATATTTTATTGGTTGACAACTTTTTGATATCTTTCACAGGAAGCGAGATAATTGAGTTTGAATTGCGCGCGGTTCGGTCGGCGCGGCGCGCTGATTACGGAATGATCCGGGAATCCGGGAATCCGGGATTCCGGTATCCGGATTTTCGGCAATCCAGGGAATCCGGAGATCCGGGAATCTGAAGGTCCGGGAATCCGCGATTCCGTAAATCCGGAATTCCGGGATTCCGGGATCCGGATTTCCGGTGATACGGGGATCCGGAAATCCGGAAATCCGGAATTCCGGATTTACGGAAGTCCGGATCCCCGGTTCCCCGGACTCCCGGATCCCCTTGTTCCCGGATCCTCTCACCCACTTTCTCTAGAGCCCGAAAAAAGAGAGAACTGATTCTTCCTTCCAATTTTCTCTTCCTTTATAGTATTCTTCCAGAGATCAATGGGACATCTGGGGTCGTGTGTTTCTACGTATTTTTTTTGATTATGTTATTTTTAAGTTTTCTTTTTTTTTTGAAGATTTTTCATAACGTTTAAATAACTTTTGATTTTTCTAATTTTTGAAAACCTTGTAACTCCTCAAAAAGATCCTCCTTTTGATCCTAATTATCTCGTTTCTTGTTTGAGATATCAAAAAATTGTCAACTAATGAAATGTTTCTGATATCAAGACAAACATTCCTGGTTTTTATTGTTTTCTGACACCTTCCACAGGAACCGAGAAAAAGTTGGTCATAATTGACGGTTTGTACAAACCACTCTCCCCTAATTTCAAACTTTGAGCCAATTTATCTCGGTTCCAGTAAAAGATATCAAAAGGTGAGCAAAATGTTGCTGATGTGATGATAAACTTTTTATCAGTTGACCACTTTTTGATATCTTTTACAGGAGCCGAGATAAATTGGCTCAAAATTAAAGACTTGTAGGGGTAGAATGGTTTGGCTCCTGGGAAGTGACGTCTTCTTTTGTGTCATCCGATCAATTTTGGTCTTTACGTCTTCACCTTTTCTTGAAGTTCTTCCCCGAGAAAGGAGAATTCTGCCACGTCACGTCTGTACCCCCACCTGGTCCATCCCATACGTCAAAGGACTCATTCTGTCTAAATTCTATGTTCATTTCCATTGTCGTCCTCTCCAGTTTTCTTCATTCTTTCATTGATTTTTCTGTTCTAATTTTTGAATTTTTGAATCATAAATCTTTTTTGCCTGGTCTCTATGTTAACTTTCCACTTCTTTTTTTGTGAATTGAAATTTTCAGATCAAAAAAATGTCGAGACCTCTCAACTACGATATGTGGCCACCAGTGATGCAGTACATGGATTTAGGCAACAGGTTTGGTTTTTTCAACTTTGCTACCGTATAGCTATGAAGTTCAATTTACGGAGAACCTTCAATAGTCAAAAATCGAAGCCACTGACTTTACGATCTTCAAAATCCTCTATTCCAGAACTCTGCTCTCTTTAAAATATCCCAAAATCCGCCTAACCGACAAAAGATGTCCAGCCAGAGTCGAAAGAATTCATGTCACTGAAATGGGTGTCAAAGTGAACGATACGAAATTCATTGTCAAGAAATATGAATCAGGAGAATACATGGAAACTTCTGGATCCGATTCTGATCCTTCCAGAACCATCATTCTCAAAACCGAGGTCCCCGTGTCTCAAGCTAAACAACAACTATTTTTGGCATTTTTCCATAGAAAATTGGATATCAATACTCTTATCTTAGATCGAGAATTCAGAAGAGAAGATGTTTCATGGCCGAGTGATTTGAAGATTAAAATTCGAAATCTTTGGGTGTCCCCTTATCAATCTCATTTTGAAACATATGCCAATACAGTACTAGAGACTAGAGATTTCTTAAATGAAATCAATGGAATTCTGAGTCATCCATTGGAATCTATGGATCTTGGAACATGTGTTCTGATGAGTCATTCTGTCACAAATTCTGCTAAAACCTTGCTCGTCCATAAATATGCTCATGGAATCGAGGAATGCGGATCCCATCGAATTCATGTTCAAAATACCAGAACTCATTTTCTGGAACCCGTGAGAATTGTGGAAAAGTGGCAATTGACGAAACCAGAAGTTGGGCGACATTTCTCATTGGCAACTGATAATCTTTCATGGGCACAGTGGGTTTTCCGAACGATTGAAATGCTCCAGATTGCTCATGTTACTTTTGCACTGTAAGTCTTACTGTAGGTGCTCAGAATAATTCAAAAAATAATAATTTCAGATCCACTGACGTCATATCTTATGGTATCACTTTTCCGATTGGCAATGGAAAAGAGATCAATGTATTCGTGACTAGTTCAAAGAAGGGATCTGAGTATGTGCTCAACTTTAAAATCGATGGAACTAATCAATCTGTATCATTATAATCTTGTTCTTTGTTTTTTTTTTAAATTTTAATTAATAAAAGTTTATTTTGAAATAAATGTTTTAGCTTGGGTCTTTGGGTCCTTGGGTCCTTGGGTCCTTGGGTCCTTGGGCCCATAGATCTTTAGGACCTATCTCTTTCTAAGAGATACAGTATGCCCTATTCAAATACCTATCGATTCCCATTACCAATTACTTTATTGTCGCTTTCCCATCCCATTTCCACATTGTCATTGCGCAATAAAGGGCGAGCCGTACCCCTCCGTACCCCGTAACTGTCTAGCCTTCTCCGTTCTCTCCCCTCTCTTGTATAGTCCCTCCGGACGGTCGCATATAAGGGACGCACCTGACACCCTCAGCCTCATTTCTTTCTTTTCTTCTAGTTTCTCCTTCCTTTTCCTTCGAAAATAGAAAAAAATCATCGAAAACATTTTTCTTATCATTGTGTTGCAAATGGAGCTACGGTCGAGGGATACTTGTGGGCGTGGTCAATGATCCTCGTAGCGAAAACAACCGTAATCTAAAATTTCCGGTTTTTTTCAATTATTTCTTGTGAATTTTCCCGATCTTAACTTTCTCTACTTTTCACTTACATCATGTAAAAAATTCCAGCGAAACCGATAGAAGATGTCAGCGGTCGATGAAGAAAAAACGTTCGTTATGAAGCACGTTTTCAAGAATGTGTCGAGTTATGAGGTATTGTCAAATTTAGAAAAATACTGATATTGTAAAACCAGAATTAGATTGGTCCCTCTAATAGAGGGGCTTGGAAAACAAAAAAAAACAAAATTCAAGAAAAATTTTCAGAGTTAGAGAAATAAAACACATAATAAATTAGAACTTTTGAATTGCTAAACTACAATGACTACAAAGATTACAAAGACTAGAAAAGCTAACTATCCTAAACACTCTAATACATAGGTTGCCACCCCACTGTCAACTTTGAGCCCTTATACCTCGGTTACTGTAGGAGTTATCAAAACAGTGGTAACTGATAAAATGTTCATCATGTTATCAGTAACATTTTACTAATTCACAAATTTTTAATAGCTCTTATTGGATCCGAGATATAATGGCTCAAAGGTAAAAGATCGGCTGAGCGACCCGGTCGGCAGCCACATCTTAACTTTCAGCCAATTTAAATCGGTTACTGTAAAAGATACTAAAAAGGTATCAACTGATAAAATGATTACAATCAAATTGTCCAAATTTTATTTGTTATCAATTTTTTATATCCCTTACAGCCTGTAAGTTACAGGAACCGAGATAAACAAGCTCAAAGTTAAAAGGTCAACTGAGCTGCGCGGTCGGCAGCAGACCTCTTTGCTTTAACCCAATTTATCTCGGTCCCTTTGAAAGATATAAAAAATTGGTCTACTAATAAAAAGTTCATCATATTATCAGCTACATTTTATCAGTTTTTCATCTTTTGATATCTGTCCCAAAAAATGAGATATTCGTGCTCATATTCAAGGGGCTCCCGAATCTCTAAACCAAATTTCCATAGAGCTACGCGAACACTAATAATCTTTGTTCTAGCTTTTCTTACTAATTCCTCAAACTTCAATCAAATTACATTTTGCCAGATATTTTTGAGCCTCATACACAATAGAAGAGCCGGCCCTTCTAATACAATTCTACGGTATATGAAAATCTGGGAGCTGGTTTCAGGTGGACCCGAGTGAACGAGGGAATAGTATCGATTTGACAAGGGGAAAGCCGCACTACGGACCAGAAAAAAACATTTTGGAGCACAATGGTGAGATTTTTATATTCATAGAAAATTTCGATTCTAAATGTGTTCAGGGAGCTTCGAATATTCGAAGGAAAGTCTGGCCGTCTGCCCTTCTTCTTTTTATCATGTCGGAAAAATGCTCGTGCTCATTGGAAAGTCGATTCCGAAGTAATCTTAAAACTTCTGAAAACTGATGGAACTTGGGAAACGAGAACCTCAGATTCATCCATTGGTAATATAATGACTAGAAATATCCTGAATGTTCCTGATGGTGTTTTGAGCGATTATTTGGTTGATGGAAGGCTTTCAATTGAAATGGAGGTGAAGATCAAGAAAGAAAAAATTTTCGGATCTTCTTGGATGAGAAAATTTGATGATGACGAGGCGAAAGAATTTTCAGATGTTGTCCTTTTGGCGAGAACTCAAGAATTCCATGTCAACAAGTCATGTATCTTTCTCTGCATTCCGCCTATTTCAAATCGCTGTTCTCTTCTCAAAAAATCGCAGAATCATCCGAAAAATCGATTATCAAACTGGAGGATGTTCACCCACAAGATTTACAGTATTTTCTCGAAGTTTTGTATGAAGAACCAACAATTTGCGATTATTCTGTTGACAGACTTCTCGTATCGGCTGAATTTTTGTAAGCAAAAACTGTAACCAGAAGATGCGAAGAGTTTTTGGAGGTGAAGTCGGAAAAATCGAGAAAAAGGAAGTTCGCAACGGCGGTGAGATTTAACATGGAGTCTTTGAAGGTAATAGAAAAAATGAATTTCAGAAATTTTGTGTGTTTTTTTCAGAGAAAGTGTATAGACGAAGCGAAAACCACTGCGGAAATTCGTGAATTGGCTCCAGAGAATGCTGGTGATCCTGAGCCAAAAGTATGGAAGGAGCTGTTTTCGAAGGCGTGCTCTTCAATCAAATGTCAAATTCGGAGTCCCCCAAGGAAGTGTCACTGGCCCCTTTTTGTTTCTGATCTACATTAACGACTTACTCGGCCTGTTTCCTCCCAATGTTCATGTCACGGCGTTCGCCGACGACCTAAAAATAACCGGTTCCTACCCATTGGATATGCAGAGAAGTATCGAAATCGTCGAGCACTGGTGTGACATCTGGAGACTCAAAATAGCCGAAAATAAGACGGCCGTTATGCATTATGGTAAACGCAATCCTAAGACAGTTTACCTTATTAAGGGATCCCCCATTACTCCGCATCACTCATTCAAGGACCTAGGTATACTAGTTGATGATCAACTTCAATTCGACAAACACATCAATCTTATTGCCTACTCTGCTAAACTCAAGTCCCGCCAAATACTGAAAACGTTCCAATCGAAAAACCCTTGTTTATATTTCCGTCTCTTCGACACCTACATTAGACCGGTCCTCGAATACGGTTGTGAACTTTTCGATCCATCCAATTCCACACTTGCCAATAAACTAGAATCTCCTCTTCGTTATTTCACCAGAAAAGTCTTCCAGAGATGTAATATGCCCTTCAATTCATACACTGATCGCCTATCCCAGTTCTCTATGCTAACCACCCTTCATCGCCGCACCCTTCTAGTTCTTCGTACCTATCACAAAATTGTTATAAACTCATACCATTTTCCCTCTATGTCGTCCTACATTCTTCCCAGCCATTCTAACAGAGCCCCCCCCCCCCGTATTTGTTCAAAATCAACGGTCAATACTTTGACTGCTTCCTTCACAGAAACTTGTCTATGTGGAACCGTGTGTATGTAAGGTGATAAATTCTAAGCTCAGTCCGGTGGCGTTTGCTAAGCGAGTAGGAGCGATTCCTTATGATATTCTGATCCCTCCCACTTGACCTACAGGACTCTAGTCGGTCCGTCTGGTCATTTTACTTCTTTTATTTGTATAGGTCCCATTTCTGCATTGCAAATAAATATATTATTATTATTATTATTATTCAAAATAATTGTTACATTTTCATTTGTTACTCCTTGTTTTCGTTTGAAATAAATTGTTCTTTTTCTTATTGTCATCACTATAAAAATGTCTGAAAGTAATGTGAAATAACAGTAATTGATTTTCTATTTGCTGAATTTTCCACTTTTTTCATCATTTTTACTGGATTTTTAATGAATTTTTAGTCGAAATCGAATAAATCAACAAAAAATATCATTTTTATTGACTGCGATTACGGTAGACAAGCACCTTTGGTGCATTCTGTGCAACGAACTTTTAATGCACAAAACCTTACGACACTTTCTTGAAATTTGCCTTTTTCAACGAATTTTTGCATATTTTCAGCCCGTTTTCTCCCGTTTTTAGTGTTTTTTTTTGTGAAAAATAAATTCTTAAAAGTTTTTCCCTATTTTCAGCTTCCAAAGCTCCTAATAACCTGCAAAATGAACGTCGATTTCGACGAGAATTCCAATGACAGCTCTTTCGAGCCATCCGCCGTTAAACGACAAAAAACCGAAGATGTATCTATTGATTTATCGATTTTCTGAAAAGTTAATATTTTTAGGACACGTTTCCAGAAGATTCTGACGATGAGGAGCGACGAGCCGAGATGAGCGGCGCTAAAAATTTTCCAAACGGGTTGTGGAGCCGTTTGAAGAACCCACGTGGCGATGAGCCAACAATCGATATCTGGGAGTTCAAAATGGTCTGAAATTTGAGCTGAAAAATAATTTCTAAAAAAACTTTTTTTTTCTCCAATTTTTACTTTTTGCAATTTGTTTTTTTTGAGTATTCCAATTTTAAGCCTATTTCAGCTTGTGGTATCAATTTTATCGCGATTAGACGATTTTGAATTTTTGGCTGAAAATTTTTTTTTCAAAAAAATTTTTTTTGCAATTCCAGGACGCCGACGCAGTCACAATGACATTCACATGTGATGGCGAAAAATTTAAGATGTATTTTACATCCAAAAGCACTGTGTAATTCAGAATTTTCAGAAAAAATCTGAAAATTCTAAATTTCAGAGACTACGAAATCCGGCAAAACTTCTGGATTCCACGTCACAACACCATGTACGGACCGCTTAGGGCTCGACTGTTATCACTGCCGAAAAATGTGACAATTGATAAATTAGTGATTTATGTTAGTAAATTAAAAAGTTTTGAGAAAAAATTCTGACAAAAAAAAATTTCCGAAAATAAATTTGTTCCAGAACTCTCCAGAATGCGAAGTCGAAGACTGTCTTATCGAGTTGATGTTCATGAAGTCGTGGTCCTGCAGAGAAGTAAAAAAAATCCTAAATTTTATCAAAAATCCCAAAATTTCCTAAAAATCCCAAAATATTCCAGCTAGAATACATCATTTGCCGAGACTTCCAGCATCCTTATCACCTTCGAAAACTCGTGAAGATGTTCAAACCGTCCGAGATTACGGTAGCCTTGAGATACGGACCGTTTCATGATGGAGATAATCGAAGGAATCCACGTGGCGGATCTCATAATCACTTATCAGCTAGCTATGATTTCACTTGTGAACTGGGAAAAGATTTTCAGTGGGATTGTGATCAGGCGGTTAAAGGTGCGGGAAGTGCTGAAAAAATTTTTGGCTGATAAATCGCTTTGAAACAGCTCAAAATGGTCTTAAAATCGATTTTTCTCAATAAAATTCGATTTTTCCAGGAGAAAAATGTGATTAATGCAGGTTTTTGAGGCTGAAAATGGTGCTTTTAAGCCGAAAATCGATTTTAAACCGCTGAAAATGACCCAGAAATCGATTTTTTGCGGTTAAAAATTATTTTTTGTTTTTGGCGAAAAGTGGGAAAATGCGATTTTTCGAAGCTGAAAATGACGTTTTCGGCTTCGAAATGCTTAAAAATGACTTGGAAAATCCAAAATTTCCGTTTCAAAAATCCCGAAAAACGCTCAAATGGACCAGAAAAATCCAATAAAAATCCCCCAAAATGTCCTAAAAATTCAAATTTTGAGTTTAAAAAACGCTTATAAAAATTTAAAAAATGTCGAAAATGACGTTTTCGGCTCTAAAATCATCCTGAAAAATGTCTAAAAATGGCCGAAAAAGTCTTTAAAAAGCTCAAAAATCCTAGTGTTTCCTTTTAAAAAACCCAAAAATGGCCAAAAAATGCAATTTTTAGTTTAAAAAATCACGAAAATCCCTTAAAAAATCCCAAAATGACCGTAAAATCCAGATTTTCGGGGATTTTCAAACTGAAATTCGAATTTTTCAGCCCATCTTGGGCATTTCGAGGATAAAAAATGCCCAAAAAGCCCCAATTTCTTCCAGCCAACCGACAAGAAGAACTCTCCAAACTCTACAAAGACGCAGTCATCGGCAAACGATTCGGAATGGGAATTCTTCGAACGCTCTGCTCGATTCGAACGTTTGTCACATTGATTATCGATGGAAAATCCTCAAAAGTATTGAAGAAATTCGCTGTTAAGTGAGTTTTTCCTGTCTGTCTGTGTGTCCGGATGTCCTCAAAATGAGGCAAAAATCAATTTTAAAATGTCTGTCTGTGTGTCCAAATGTCCTGTTTTTCCTCCAGAGGTCCATCCAACGACAAGGCGTGCATAGCACTTCAACAACTGCTTCGCCAGGAGGATCCCTCGGAAATGAACAGGAAAAAGACGGAATTTGCGAATGGATTTATGGTACGGTACTTTTTAGAGCCTCTGAAGTCGCTAAATTCCTAAAAATTTGAGTTCTGCTCGCTGAGAGCTTCGAAATGAGCCTAAACACGACTAAATTCGATCAAATTTGAAAATTTGGGCACCAACCGCTACACGACCGCGTCGCGGAGCCTAACCAGTCGTGTTTAGGCTCATTTTGAAGCTCTTAGCGCGGGAAATACAAAAATATCAATAATTTGATATTTCAAACATAACTGTAAAAGTTATGATTATTTGAAAATTTCTCGAAAATTTTCTAATACTACCGGAACTTTCCTAATTTTATTGCTAACTTGATTTCATATGTATTTTTCAATTTAGCTTGTTGAGAGCTTCAAAATGAGCCGAAACACGCCTATCTTCAGTCAAATTTGAAATTTAGAGCTCCAACCGCTACGCGACCGCGTTGCAGAGCTTAACCAGTCATGTTTAGGCTCTAGCTCTTAGCGCGGGAAATTCAAATTTCCAGACCTTCGTGTGCGTTCGAAACGAGCCCGTCGCTGCTCCTCAATGCTCTCTTGGCATGTCAACGACGACATTCAAAATGGAGATGAGCAATGAGCAAATGCTTTCATTCACCAAGACCACGCCCACTTTTCATTGTTGCTTCCGAACGAATGTCGATGAGAGAGGAGTTCTCGTGTTGATTGAGGTATGGGAATTATCGATTTTTAGACCTAAATTACACATTTTGAGCCTAAAATATTGATTTTTCAGGCCCAAAATGGTCATTTTTGAGCCAAAAAAGCTATTTTAAGTTCTTTTACGCCTAAAAATATTGAATTTCAAGCCTTTTTTGAGCCTTAAAATTACTATTTTAGTCAAAAATTAATCATCTTTGACCCTAAAATATCGATTTTTAGACTCAAAAAAAAAATCATTTTTAGGCCTAAAATATCGACTTTTAAGTCTAAAATGTTCATATTTCGTCTGAAAATACTAATTTTAAGGCATTTTTGGGCCTAAAATTGCCTTTTTAAGCTTTATTTAGATCCTAGAATTTTGATTTTTACGCTTTTTAGACTTAAAAAAGTCTAAAATATCGAATTTTAGACTCACAATAGTCATTTTTCAGGCTTAAAATAATTATTTTTCAGGCAAAAATTATTGATTTTTAGGTCTTTTCAAAAATAATCGATTTCTGGCTCATTTCCCAAATTTCAAGAAATCTCAAAAAATCAATATTTTCCGGTGGTACGACGGATCGGACATTTCCCAAAATGAAATGTTTCTGAATCGAAATACTTCCAAATTGGAAAATTTACGGAATGAAAACTGTCCGAAAGCAGAAAAGGCGAAAGTGGAATTGTCCTAAAGTAGAACTGTCCCGTTTTGGAGAGCTATATTCCCCGCGGAGATATGACTCTTTGAAGAAGAGGCCGCGAAACAGCACGGCAAGGAGAGAGGGCGCCAGAGAAGCTAGACTGTCTGCATTCTCTTCGTTTCGTACAGTCTCTCGCCGTGCAAAAAATTCGAATGATCTTATTTGACTCGACTCAAAATGGTTCGTATGATTGGATTTTTAGCTCATTTGAAACGTGGAAACTACAGTAATTCAGAAACAATGCGACTAGAAAAATATT